CTTCAGGAGGTTTAGGGGTTCCACGGTTTACCAGTGAGTGACAACTGGCTTCGGGGAAATCACAAGTATTGTACTAAGTTTTTCAAGAGGCACTTACAAGTGAGTTGGTGGTTACACACAACGTAATGTAATAACCCTAGAGAACAGGAGGAGAATGGCCGCACGCGTTGGACACCCGTCTGTTTCAAGTTTTCTGCTCAATAACATATAACGATAGTGTATTCGGCCGTTCGGAATCTGTAGCATGCCCAATGAAGTTCGACTGTGCACAGCAGAAGTACCATCATGACACGGCCGGATTAGAGGTGACAACAAGAGTATTACAAATATTATGAACCAGTAATCAGGCAAACTCGTGTCACATTGAGAGATTAAAATTTGCGTAAATCGCGTAGAGTGATCCTATCAGATCGCAGAGAGGACCAGAGGGAATTTAATTGTTTTAAATCAAGGATGAGAGACAAGACGATGTGAAACGATGGAGCAATTACACTGTATATACACTGGTCCCTCAAGAGGTCTGGCCCATTCCGTATCCAGAGACTCGAATGGGCCAATTTTAAATCTCAGTTTCACTTCTACATGCAAAACCAGTAGCTAGTCTGTTAGTCAGTTTACAGATAATTGGCGTAGATTTCTGCGTAGCTTGAGTCGAACTGTGACGCACAATCGATTACACACTCAGTTCCTCTCCGATCTGTCCACGCACGCGTGCATCTACGCCTTGACTGCAACGCAGATGATGAGTTATTCTGCAGACAGCCTAGTTATTGTGGTTGAACGAAACAGTCCACATCGAATGACACACTGATTGCCATAGAATCGCAACCGGAATTCACAACAGTCCATTTTGTAATCGAGTTGTGCGGTTGTTCACATAAGCACATGTGCACGAACACACCTACAGACTGACAGCCAAATAATCTGTAGGATCACGAAATGCTACGTTGTTGCCCCTTCTCCAGTACGATTATTCAGCACCAGAAACAGGTTACCTGACTGATGGTGTAAGTAGACTGCTAAATGAACTAGGGGAGTTGACTACAGCACGAAGTAGATCTTTGTGGGACAGGGAATAGGATTAATTGGACTTAGGAGCCCGCAACGAGTACAGCGGACAAGCCCTCATGATCAGCGCCATTTGGGTAAAAGGCCTAGCAACAAGAATGCCACCGATAGTTGACTGTGTGAAGGAAACCCCGTATCAGACGGAAACGCATGTATGTGTATTTGTAGAAAAGAGCAGAACCCAAGATATTTTCAATCCGCACATAGCACACCGGATTTATCAAAGGAAGGTCTACCATACAACGCAGTGGTTTAATACAACCTTTTCAAAACATTGTCATCATGGCAACTTCCAGATATCGGAACCGATGAAAAAGTCCCAAAGCTCTGAGTGGTAGCAGCATATACGTAAAGCGCCCCTAGAGAAACAAATGGTTCGTGAAAGAGGATTGAACGAAACAGGTCAACAAAGGGGAGTTCGAAATCAAAATTGAGATATCAACATCAAATTTTCATTATTCACCTTGTCGTTTAATTATCTTTGTTATTTTCAGCATTGACGAACGTTTGTCTAAAATAAGGAGTATTTTCAATTTCTCAAGCCTGCAAACTATTTGAAAGACCTGTGTAACCTCGATAGGAGGAATGCTCAAAATCTCTATCAATTAAATAGGATTTGCAATCAAACAACAAGGCGTAGTTTGTCCTTAAAGAACCGGAAAAAATCATAACTGCGAATTATTGTTATTTAGTTATCGTTTTAAATCAGCAATTGTAAAATGTGAAACACACTGCGATTTTACATAGCACATACGGTTCTTGCGTTTACTGGTTCGGTTAAAGGTTATCAAACAAAGTCAATCAGGCATCGGCATATTTTCATTGTGCTTCAATTGTGGCCGTGTGCTGAGGCGAACTCAAGAATATCTATACCACTTAAATATCAAGAGACTTTAATGAAAATATGCACTCTCTTGACTGCCGAACAGACACATCACTCACGGGATGTTGTTTGAGGTTGAACAACCGGCACCTCTCGCAATACCCTGGGGCCATAACCCGCGAATAGTAATGGCATTATTCTGCTGAATGTAGGTAGCAGAGCGTCGGATAGCCAATTGGGGGTCATTGGTAATAGATAAGACGCAAGCGAGGGCTGAGTAGGGACTAGGACGAAATCCTTGAACAGGTGAAAATAAAAGGTGGTATAACACGATCACGTTTACAACAGTTATTTATAAAAATATTGCAGCATTTCTGATGGACAACAAGGAAGAATGGTATCGTGCCAATTGGTCATTGGCTCATAAAATCGCTTTCACCAATTCAGTTCAGTTCAGCTCAGCTCTCTTCAGTTTGAACAACCATTAACCTGACACATTTTTACGGTGGTTTTAGTTGCCGTCTTTGGCTCCTGTTTGAATGAACGCATAGCGGGTAGGTTGGGAATTTAGAGGTGGTGTCGACGAGTAACACGCATCAGAGAGAAGCTTTTAAAGCATTGTAAAGCAACTTGATTCCCAGCCGAAATCATCAGTCGTGGCGGTTAAAATTCGGATATGTAGGATTGCGCTTCTCGAGGGCTATCACCAGACTATTAGCAAAAAGGTCTCTCGGCCAGATGGGATGCATGTTAAAGGCAATTCGGTC